TTCTCAATCAGGGGCAATGTCTGGAGACATTTTTGGTTGTCACAACTGAGGGGATGCTGTTGACACCTAGTGGGTAGAAGCTGCTCAGCATCCTATAGTGCATGGGACAGGCCCCCATGATGGCGAATTATTTCACACAAAATGTCAACAATGCCAAGGTTGAGAAACTCTGACCTAAAGCAACTGTATTCAATAGAGCTTCCTTTGACAATGAAAATAGTCTATATCTGCCCTGTCCCATGTGGTAGCCACTAGTCACATATGGATTCTGAGCACTTGAAATGTGGCCAGTGTGACTGAGGGACTGAATTTTTAATTTTATTTAATTTTTATTAATTTAAATTTAAATTAAAAAGCTACTTGTGGCTAGTGCTATCATATTAGACAGCACAAGTCTAAAAGAAGAGATTAATGAGTTAACCAGTGGTTACAGCTCCATGTAAGATAACTTGAAACCAAGGCTCCTGAGGGGTGTTATGGGAACACGGGAAAAAAAGTTAGGCCAAGGCAAGTCGCTTTCTAGGAACACAGCATGCAGTGGGTGATTTTTGAGCCGAGTGCTAAAGAGTTAAAAGATGTCGTCCATGCCCACATATAGAGTGACTTGAATACAAGATGATTCTTTCATCCACCTAATGAGAAGATTCACTGAAAAAGTGGGTTAGGAGGATAACATGAATAAATAATGTTTTAGGGAAAATGTCAACTTGTAATATTTAATTTTTTTCAATTTAGTTATACAAACATTTAAAATCAGATATATATATATACATAATGCATATATACATATTTGTTTAGAAATATATATAGTATGTTTTTTCCAGTCTCACATTTCCTGAAATAATTTTTTTCCAGCTCTTCAGTTTCATCTCTGGTGTAGTTGCTAGTTATCACTAGAGACCCTGAGTTGGCTACAGATATTCCCAGAGCACAATCTCGCTTCCATCCAAGCTATTTGAGATACAATACTTTTAAACTCTCTCCTTGGAAAACTTACTCCATATTACAGGTGCCCACTCACATAACATTGGGTTAGCTTCTTTTTCCTTTTGTCCTTTATGTATATATTCTTGAAATGCTCAAGATAACTACCTTTTGTATTTCTTTTAAAGCCAATCTGTAAAAGGCTTGTTTTCAACATCTAGCATTTGCAATTATGAGGTCATACCTTCAGGAATACAAATTGCATCTTCATTAAATTTGCCTCCTTTGTTACAAGTTCTATCAGTTGACCCCTGTAATGGCATTCAGAAGTAACGTTGCTTGAGGTCTTTTCAAGTTACTGAATCTTCCTTAAAGAACACTTTGGTGTTCAAAATAAAGTAATTGAGAGAAGGCCTCATAATATGAGAGGTAGGATTCCAGTTCAAGAAAGTGGAATAAACACATGCATTTGTTTCTGCTACCACCTTAGGCCCAGTTAAAGACAGTAAAAGTATAAAAGACATGTACTCATAACATCAGAAAGAAGAACAAATGAGAGATTTACCTAATTTCTGAACACAAAGCAGATCAAAGGATGTTAATTGGCTAAGCAGAATACAGGGAAATGTGGTTTAAAATAACACTTCTCAAACTTTAGCATGCATGTGAATTGCTCTAAGGTCTTCATTGGGTCTCACATGGGGCTGAGATTCTGCATTTCTAACAAAGTTCCCAGGTGACACACATGCTGCTGATCTGAGGACCACACATTGATGATCAAGGGCCTAGAAAACATGAGGAGAGAGCCTACCTGCCCAGCAAACCCAGAAAAACTTTACGTTAGAAGTTGACATCTACCACAGAGGGCAAAAGTCACTTATAGGTCTGAAATCAGGGAAATTCACTAAAGATCAGTATATGAAATGCTTGGACATGCCTGCTTTTACCCTGTAAAATCAGAACACTTTTCTCTATAGTGCCTGAACAAGCTTCCGGTGTAGAACCAGCATAGCTGAAGTAGTTTGGCTTCCCAGAACTAAGCCTGCATTATTCTGGTCTTTGGAGGATCCTAAATATAATAGCTGACTCCTTACTCACCCTAAGACAAAGCTCACCAGTCATTCAGCCTAGCTTCATATACCAACCTCACATTGGGCTTTCCCCTTTCTTCATTTCTACTGAATATTCAGAGAGAGATTCAAGAAGACACTACCTCCACAGTGCAAGACTTGAATGCTGTAAAAGAGCAACAAAGGATGAGAGAGTGTTTGAATCTTAAAAATAGTTTAATATTTTAATTGCTGAAATAATTTTTCAATAGAAAGGTGGGTAGATAAAGCTAAAAGTATGCCAGGCCATAATTCAAAAAGTTAAAGAAATAGAAAATATGGAGAAAAAAATGAAAGGCATAAGGGATAAATCCTGGGGGGTCCAATTTCTGACAAAAGTCATAGGAGAAAAATTCCCAGAATTTTAAGAGAGTTTTAGCTTGAGAGTGCTTGTGAAAGGCTGATCAAGAAGAATGAGAAAGGCCCTCACATATACTCGTCATTGTGAGGTTCCAGAAGACCAAGAGTAAAGAGAAGATCTAAAAAGCGTCTGGAAAAATATATACAGGACACCCATAACCAAACAAGAATCACACTCACGTTGGCACTTCTGATCAGCAACAATGGACACTAAAAAAGAGTTGAGCAAGATTTCAAAATTATGAGGAGAAATAGTTTTTAATTGTTTTCCTTCCAATCAAGTAGGAAGGCTGAAGTCAATTTTGAAACATCCCTCCCCATACCTGTAACTCCAGCAAAATGAGAGAGAGCCCAAAAAAGAGAAATGTATGATACAGTAAACAATAGAGCTAACACAGGCATCCAGTGAAAAAATCTCTGCTCGAGGAGCTGTGGTTCAGGCTGATTATCTGATGAGTAGAGATGATAGCAGACTCAGTGGGTTCCAAGAAGAGTGTCTGCAAATGGACTGGCATGAAGTAGAAGCAACAGGTAAAATGACTAAGACGATGAAGGATTTAAAGGTTACAGTGATATCTTTATCACTTTCCAAATAAAATCTGTTCTAAAAACAGAAAGCGGAGATAGTCATGGTCTGAATATGTAGCAAACCAAAAGAGAATTCACTCATTACGCTTATTTTAGAAAATTATCAAACATGTAAAATTAGCCAGTGTGGCATAATAAACAAACTCTCAAGTACCCAGCACCCACTTCAACAATTTATCACTTTATGGTCAATCTTGTTTAATCTATACTTTTACACATTTCTGTCATCCTGTGTCATTTTGAAGCAAACCCCAGGCATGATATTCCACTTGACTTTAATCTTAGCAGTATCTGATCTTGAGAGGCACAGGCTTCACATGCCACCCCAGAATCTTAGGAAAGGAAATGTAATCAGAGCATATTACCTGGCTCTGCAGGAAGCATTAGGGTAAAATTGCTTTTTGGTTTCCAGTGTTTAGAGTCTACCTATGAGTACTCAATTAGGAGAATAGAACAGAATACGAATGTTCCTGACACTAAGAAATTGGAGGGTAGAAGTGGACAAAAGGAGAATATGATGTCCTCTATTATATATTCTGAAAACACTGCTCATCTTTATTGAAGATTTTTGGTCCCTATCACTCATACGAGGGACCTTGGTGTTTGGTACTCATCTGAAAAAAACCCAAAAAACCCAAAAAGGACTCCCATTAACATTTCTTGCAGGACAAATCTAGTGATAATGTACTGCCTTAGTTTTTGTTTATCTGGGAATGTCTTAATTTCTCTTTCATTTTAGAAGGACACTTTTGCTGGATATAGAATTCGCAGTTGACAGTGTTTTTCTTTCAGCACTTTGAATATATCAACCTGTGGCCCTTCTGGCTGCCAAGACTTCTGATGAGAAATTGGATGATAATCTTTTTGAGGACGCCTTGTATCTGATGAGTTTATTCTCTCTTGCTGCTTCCAAGATTTTCTCTGTCTTTCAACAGTTTGATTTCATGTGTTAGTGTGGCTCTCTTTGAGTTTATCCTACTTATTATTCATTGAGCTTCTTGGATTTGTAGTCTTTTATCAAATTTGGGAAGTTTTCAGCCATTATTTCTTCAAATATTCCTTCTGGCCAATTTCTCTCTCTGTTTCTTCTGGGACTCCCACAATGTATTGGTCTGCTTGATGGTGTCCCACATGTCCCTTAGGCTGTACTCACTTTTCTCTGTTATTTTTTCTTTCTGTTCCTCAGACTCAATAGTTTCACATTTTATCTTCAAATTCACTGATTCTTCTGCTTGCTAAAATCTGATTTTGAACCCCTCTGTTGTATTTTTTCCCTTTTTCCTTTTCAGCCCCAGAATTTCTGTATGGTTTCTTTCTATAACTTCTGTGTCTTTACTGATATTTTTATTTTGTTCCTCTGTCATTTTCTTGTGTCCTTGACTTCCTTTGGACCTCAGAGTATCTTTTTTATAGTAATTTGGTGAGTCTGAAGTCTGGGTTTATTCAGGTGTAGTTTCTGTCTATTTATTTATTTATTTATTTTTTAAAAAGTATCAAATTTATTTCAATATCTAGTTTCATTTTTCAATTAAAGCTATTGGATAAGTTTTTGTAATTTAAAATTATCAGAGATGAGGAAAACATTAATAAGATATTAAATACAATGAATAAAATGATTAGACCAATCATTTATAAAAGCCATATTTAATAGTAAAAAATTCCAGTTTTACTACTTATCTGAAGGAACTATCCTTTGGCTCTTTATTTTGAATTATAACACATTCTCATTTTGACATAATTTACCTTTCACCCAATTACTAGTATGCCCAACAAAATTTTTCCAGATTTTAAGCTTTTGTTTACCACTTGTGAAATCTGACTTAACTGTTACTCTTTACGAGTTCCTTAAAAGAAATCAAAATTTTAATTTTCACCATGAACCTGTTTGATCAAACAGTATAGGACATTACCACCATGAGTTATAACAATGAATGGAATAAAAAACAAAAGTGGTAGCTATATAATCACCAAATTATCTGATAAGACATTTTAACTACTTCACATTTCCACTTAGCACAAGTACAAATAAACTGCTTCCAAGGTACTACAAGGTTTGGGGTTTTTACTGCAAGCTTTAAATCATAGTGTTATTCAACGAGTCATCTAAGAAAATGGCAGTGTCCATAAGTACAAAAATTGTTACATCCAGTAGGTGGTATTCTACATAGTCAAGATAATAAGAGAATTCTTTATAAAATTAGATTTTAAAAAATGCAAAATGACCAATAATTACCAGTAGCTGAAAGGCTAGCATCAGAAAAATGCAGAAAATAGAAGTACTCATTATTTTGCTTTGAGAAAGCCAGAAATGATTCTATTCCAAGAAATAAGCAATGATAAAAGATGTAATTAATTTACTGTATCTCTTTTAAACCAAAGCATACTTTTCACTCAGAGAGGACAATTCTGATTTTTACATTCTTAATTTCCTTTATCCAGACCAGGACCCTATTTTAAGCCATTATTTGAATGGAGTTCATAATGAAAAGTCATTTTTCTCCACAGGATGTTTTCATTTCAGTATATAAGTTGCAAAATGGCAAATGACTAGGTCACCTATAAAGAATTTGTAGCATAATAAATGCCAATTTACAAGAACTGTCCACAGACTTTTACACCAAAGCCTAAAAGTTGCTACAGTACATTAAGAGGTCAGAACGTGATTCTTCCATAAGCTCAGACTTCCTTTACTAAATAATACTGTCATAAAATCCAGAGAAGAAACCCTAGTGGGGCCCTTCCAAATTCATAATTTTCCAAACGATTTTCTTCTGGTTTGCACCAGCTGTTCATTCCTTCAATCCTTTTTTAGTCGTTTAGCTTTTGCAATATTTTCTTGACATTTTTGTTTCTTCTTTTGCTCCTTTTCCCTGGCTTCAATCATCTTGGCTAATTTCCAGGACAGTACAGCACTTGCTAGAAACAATGGAGTAAGGGCCAAAATAACTGTTGTAAGGAAGCCATATGGGTCCTTTGCAGCCCATTCCACAACAAACTCTGCCCAAGCCTTTATATCAAACATCTTTGTAGTGGTCTTATGCTGGAGCAGTGCTCTCTAACTTTGTCCTGGGTTATCAGAGAGCCAATCAGAACTTCAGATGACCCTTGGTTGGTTGTCTTCTTGAGCTCTACCATACACTTCTGAGAGAAGATTTAAATTCTATATGTTGAGTGGCTCACCGCCAAGCCGGAAGCAGGAAGGAGGAAACTCTGTCTATTTATTTTATTTCTTCAAGTGGGTCATACTTTCCTGTTTATTCATATTCCTTGTGATTTTTTGTTGTCATTGAAAACTGGACATTTGAATCTTATAATATGTGAACTCTGGAAATCAGATTCTCCTCCTTCTCGGGTTTTGCTGGGTGGTGGTTTTTCAGTTTTGGGTTTTTTATTGTTGTAGGGTGTGTTTGTGTCAGGGATCAACCTAAGATGAAAGATTACGATCTTCTCAGGTCTTTTCTGAGACTGCATCTTTCCCTGGGTAAGTACAGTGGCTTTCTAAATTCCCCAGACATGTGGTTGTTTTTGAATATCCCAAAAAACAGTTGCAATTCCCTTAAATCCCCTGGAAGCCATTTCAGCTGGTGGGGTTGTAACAATGGTGACAAATCCCTTTTTTTTTTTTTTTTAGGAAGATTAGCCCTGAACTAACATCTGCCTCCAATCCTCCTCTTCTTTTTTTGCTGAGGAAGATTGGCCCTGAGCTAATATCCATGTCCATCTTCCTGTACTTTATATGTGGAACACCTACCACAGCATGGCTTGATGAGCAGTGTGTAGACCAGTGCCTGGGATCCGAATCAGCGAACCCTGGGCCACCAAAGCAGAGCGTGCATATTTAACTGCTATGCCACCGGGCCACCCCCAAATCCTTATTTTTTAATAAAACTAACTTCCAAATTGTTAAAGTCAGAGATTCTGCCTTAGGACTCATTTCCAAACATGTAATACCTTGAAGTTAGTATGTATTCAGTAGATATTTGTTAAATTATAATAAACAATAGCTCTAAAAATTCTTCACTTTATACGTTAAATTTCTGACATGAAGTGATTTCAGATAGCAATTTGAAGTTTATACAGGGCCTTCGGTCATTCTTGATAAGACCTCAGAAATGAAAAGTTATCAAGTATGTATACAGATATACCTCGTTTCATTGCACGTCGCTTTATTGCAATTCACAGATATTGCATTTTTTACAAGACCCTCCACCAGCGAAAAGATTACAACTCACTGAAGGTTCAGATGATAGTTAGCATTTTTTAGCAGTAAAGTATTTTTTAATCAAAGTACGTATACTATTTTTTAGACATAATGCCATTGCACACTTAATAGACTACAGTGTAGTGCAAAGAAAACTTTTATATGCACCAGGAAACCAGAAAATTCATGTGACTCACTTTATTGTGATATTTGCTTTATTGTGGTGGTCTGGAACTTAACCCGCAATATCTCCGAGGTATGCCTGTAATTAAAATCAGGCTATTTTAACTTGCCTCATTAATTTGGAGTTTATAACTATACCTTTACAATATCTGTAGGAAGGATTTGCTTAGCATATTAACAGTTTAAGCAAAGTGAAAATGATGCCTACCTACAACAAACTTTTAAGCATTTAGTATAATTTTTGGAGTCTCTATTTGGAGAAAACAAGATCTCATAGGCTCTCTACTTAGAAATATTCCATGATCCTCTTACTACAGATATTCAAACTAGTTCTTCAAATTAGACCTGCTTTATTTATTCAACATAGCTTAATTAAGCCAACTTTTAATTTTATTTGTCTGTAACTCTGAAGTTTTATAATAGATTTAGTCTAGTACATTTTTTGAAAGTTAAGAAAATTCTATGCTTTGTGAAAATTTTAGATTTTTTTGTATCTCCTAGGAACATGTTCTCAGAAGAGTCAGATATTTTGAAGGACACTATACAAGTTAAACTTTATCGGGAATATTTGCTTTGGTACATGGAAAGACCTCAGGCATTGTGTCCCATGTGCAACTTTTTGAAATGGGGACTGATTCCCACAAGGGGATTTATTTTTTTACGAGTAATGGATTTAGATGTTAAAAAATATTTTTTAAAACCCTGCATGGTCCTCTCCCTCCCTTCTCCTCTGCGTCTGTAATTTCTGGCCCAAGAAAAAGTGACTTTGGAAAAACAATCAAATATTTAGTAAGTACCTGCGATGTGTAAGGCACTGTGCTAGGTGCTTGAGGTGATTTAAATGTAATAATACATGCCCCCAACATCTAAAATCATATTTAGAAGGTGAGAAAACAATAAATGTACAGTACTAGAATCCAAGGCAAAAGATAGAGGAGAGCAAAGTCACTACTTGGGAGTGAGGATGTTAAAATAATAGCTACAAAATATTGAGCACCTAAAATGTACCAGGCATTTCACATGCAGTAGTCCATTTAGTCCTCACATCCTGGCTGTTAAATATTATTCACACTTTAGAAGGAGGCTCCTAGTGTAGAGAGTTTGAGTAGTTTACAGAAGGCTACTTGGGCAGTATGTGCTGAAGCTGGGGGATCAGACCTAATGTGACACCCACACCCTTATTACTGTAAACACTATGCCTTACGGAAAGCCTCATGGGAGAGACACCCAGAAGCAGGGTTGCTAGGCATTTTGAGAGGGGAGAATTTGGTGGTATTTTTCCAGAACACAGGAATCAGCAGGAGTTGTGGCACAAAGGCTTAAAAAAAAGTGTGGACACATTCAGAGACTGAATAGTTAATTGTGAGAGGAAGAGCAGGCATAGCAGAAAACCAGACTGCGGGGGAAGTGAGAAGATGCTGTGGAAGCATAGAAGTGTGTACCTGGGTCTCTGGCTGTGTACACAGCCCTGGGAGGCTTCCTCCATGTTGCATGGAGATGTGTTGCACTTACGTAGAATATGATGTGAGCTGCAGTCCCTGGAGTTGTGCAACAGTGGCTCTCCTGGGCGGGGAGACAGTTAGGAGGCAAAATCGTCACATAGTTCAAGGGTCACTGACTCGGGTAGCAGTGGAAACAGATGAGAGCATTGCAGAGAAGCTTCTGGACTGGCAGCTAATTGACGATGTTGAGTGAGGGAGAAAGGAGGAAAGTCTTAGAAGGGTAGAATTTGGTAACATCATAACCAAATAGGGGACACAGGAGGAGCAACTTTCTCAGGAGGTGGCAGATAAGATGAGCTTGTGTTTGAAGTTTTGGTGATGCTAGGATATTATAAATGGCCATCCTGGTGTGGAAAAGGGAGTTTTTAGTTTTTGTTTTGTCTTGTTTTTGTATCATGGACAGCTTTCAATGAAAATTTGATTCTCAACAAAAAGCACATATTTATTCATACATTCTAGCATAATTTCAGGAGTTTGATGGGCCCCCTGAAGTCCATCAATGGACCTTCTGTACCTAGGTTAAAGATTCTTACACTAGAAACATAGATACCTGAAGCTATATTAGTAGATGAATTTACTGAAAAACAGTACGTAAAAGGAAAAGGAAGGAAGATAAGGGTACAACTTTAGGAAATGCTTAAATTTGGGTGCCAGGAAGAGGAGGAGGAAGGAGGGAATCATCAAGGTGTGTGTAGGAGAAGGAAGGAGGAGCACTTGACTAGCACAGTGTCTTAGAAACCCCAGAGAATCTCTTGAGAGAAGGGGTTGTCGGTCGTGTTTAAGATGATACGCTTAGGAACATAGTATCTGAAAACCTTTAGACTCAATGAATACATAGTTGTTGTTTAGTGTTATTATTCCCATTTTTAAAAAGAAATGTGTAAGAAAAGGGCTTATTTTAAGAGGAATGGGTGGTGAGAAATGAGAGCTAATACAGAATTTTATTACTTTCATGTCAAAATATATAATGGGTCTTTTTTCCAGTAATTTCTGACCCAAGAAAAAATAAACATTTAGTAGGTACCTACCATTCTATGTTAAGTTCTAGAAGGTATTTAAATATAAAAATTAGATAATTATATGTATGTTTTACAAATAAATTTATATATAAATGAGTTTTGCCAAATATTTTACATGCTTCTAGTATGCATACCAAATCTTTTTAATGAGCTCTAAATTTACAAAGTGCAAAAAGTCACTGAAATTGAGAGGATGTTTAGAAAAAAGGAAATCTTGTGGTATCAGTGACCCAAATACACAATTTCATTTTGGTATAACTAGGTTGAAGTATTTTTCTATCACATTTTGTATTTTGGGGAAAACATATTTATTTCTTCTCTCAGACTTTATTAGGGAAATATTTAACTATAGTAAAACACACAAAAATACTTGTTACATTATAGATAATTTTTTAAATTGCATTTCAGTACATTATAGATCATTTAAAAATTAACAATATTTAAGTGGTTAAAATATTAAAGAGGCATTTTACTGAAGTCAAAACAGATCATTGTAATCTAATGTAGCGTCTGATATAAGAAAAAGCAAATCTCTGAGAATGTCAATAAATCTCAAACATGCTTCTGTTTTTGGTTTATTTGTGCACTCATCACAGTCTTAAACATAACAGATAATTCTACGTCTCCTTTTTTTCTCCTTTCTCTGATCTGAACATTAACTATTAAATAATTTTCTAAGTAATTTTCTTGTCTAAAAGCATCTCAGTATTTATTTTGAATTATCTCATGACTGCATATTTTCTTTCTATGATTTCTTTCTGCTCCTTGAATTTGCTAAATTATTACTGGTTTGGAGTTTTTCTATGAATTTTTTCCCTCTTTTTAGTCTTAAGGAACACATTTCCTATAAAAATAATCAGAGGACTGTCAAGCACCAGGAATATGTGACCTAAAACTTACCCCAATACTTCTCAGAATGATGAGTTTCTTAATGTGTTTGGGCTTTGCCAAACCGTCACAGACTTTAAAATATAGCTATGGTTTTGAATTTCCAGATGCATTCACTTTAAATAATTTTATAATGTTAATATTTTTTAAATGGGAAAATGTGAATTGGGTCAGAATGCTTGCTTTTTACATGTATCCTTCAGCTCAAGTAACATGTTGCACCATTTCATTATGCAGAATGCAGTGAACAAGAAGTCACTTGTCATAGCTGTCTGTTTCCTGGTAGTTTACACACCAGAAACTGAAATCTGAGAACTGCACTTGAAGGAAAACAAAGAGCTTTACAGTATTTTTTTTTCTTTTCAGGAAAACACACAGAAGCTAATTTTAGCTTCTTGATCAAATTGACCCAGCCTTTAACCCTGGCAGACGTTACTACAACACACTTCCAATAGACAATA